CCCCAAAACCCCAAAACCCCAAAACCCCAAAACCCCAAACATTAGACTTCTTGTAAAATTACAACTAGTTATTAATTAAACATCATGGGGCTTTATCATTTCTTTGAAGTACTTGTCAAGGGAGGTAGACGGCAGGTCTGAGCGGAGAAGGTAGTTTTTGCAGAGGGTTTTTATTGTTATATTCAAGTGAGATCGAGTTTTTTGGATTTGAGATCTTCTTCGTGGAGTTTTAGGATGTGGTCGTTGTAGGATTTTAGGCTGCCGAAGATGTACTTTTTGGAGGTGTGGTGGCAGAGGTTACAGTAGAAGTGGTCTTTTTTGATGTGCTGCATGTATTTGATCTCGTTTTCGAAGATACGATTGCAGAAGTTGCATGTTGGGTGGCGAGTTTTTCCTTTGACTTTTTCAGATTGATGTTTTCGGAGTTTTTGGAGAGAAAAATAATGTAACTCAGTGGCGATAGTCTCATCTCCTTGACAGAAAGAGCATGCTATCTTACCATGAGTTTCATGCATGTGCTCCTTCAGCTCTTCTATGTTTGGGAAAAGAACATCTCATTCTTTACAGATCGGTTCATATGCTTCTTCTAGAGCTTTCTTAATTTTATTTATTCTGGACAGTTACTTTGATACTAAGATTATTCAGATGTTTGAACAAGGAACCGATGTCATCAATTTCTACTTCATCAACCACTTGTGTATATGGGCTAAGATACCAAAGATGGTCAAAGCTATTCCTGCAATAAGGTCATACTCTTTTCTTTGACTTGATCAAATACAGGTACATTCATTCGAAACAGATATTGGGTAGGTGCTGTCATACGACTGGATGTGCGAAAATTGTTTTTCTATATTGGAAAATAATCAGAAACTGTAATTAACATCCTAGAGTATAATTCTAGTCACTAAAGTAGTGCAGAATTACTCCTAACCCCAGATGTAATCTTATAGATTAGCTTACTCCTGGTATCAAAGGACACAGGTATGGTTATCCTTATCTGAAAAGGAATCTTCTGAATTTGTTTGCTCCATTTAATATAATTCTATAGATCTTTAGCTTTATGGGGTTTTGGGGTTTTGGGGTTTTGGGGTTTTGGGGTTTTGGGGTTTTGGGG